TTTTTTTTTTTTTTTTTTTCTTACACTAAACAAACACAGTTGATTTAAGTAGAAATCAATTTAGTCCTTTAGCCAAGCTTGATGGTAAAGTGGGGCAAATCACACAGTCCATATCCACCCCTTGGAACCTCCATAATCCCTAAAAAAGTTCTTTTTATTTAAAAAAAATCACAAATAATTTGAAATGTTTGATAATGAATGTACACAAATTATAGCTCTGGGATGGGAGCTTCTAATTTTCACACTCCATAGTTTAAAAATAAATAAAAACAAAGAACCCAGTTAATTTAAGTAGAAATCAATGAAATACTTTATTTCACTAAGCCAAGCTTGATGATGAAGAACTGATCAACACTAACATTTCTTTTGCAGGTTCTGAAAGAAAAAGTAAAGAGGAAAAATAAAACACTGCTTTTCTGCTTTTATTATTATTCAACATTTGATAAACCATTTTACCCATTTAAATTATAAACCATTTTCTTTTAGAACGGAAAATTGACATTTTGATAGAGAGTTGAAAAGCACTCCCCAATTTTAATGTCAACCACTTTTTTTATATTTATTTATTTATTTTAAAAGAACATAAATTTAACGACAACAATCACATTTATCAATGCAACCTAAAAACTCAAAACCTCCCTTTCTACAACGCAGATAGCAGGGTGAGGATATTGGGATAAGAAGCCAAAGGAACTGCGATAGCCAACTAAAGTGTCCATTTCTTACCATCTGAACAATGCCACCATTTTGTTTGGTAAGTATTTAATAACATTTCTTGTGCTAAAATATGAATATGGGTTTTCAATATGTTCAGATGATTTATTCTTCTCCATAAGGAGGTATATATATGAGTTTACAGAGTGCTTTACAAGGAATAAGATTCTATCAGGAATTAGGAAAGTATATCCTAATTATACACAGATTTGTCAACTAGATGGAAGGAAAGTAAATCCCTTAATTAATCAAGGAAATAAATCTCCTTGATTAATTAGGAGACTCACGTCAACACTCCTCCTCAAGTTGGTGCATATACGTCACCAATGCCCAACTTGGTAAGTGAGTCATAAAACACTCTGCTACAAACAGCTTTGGTTAAGATATCAGCTAATTGATCTTCTGATTTTACGAATGGTAGGCGGATGATCTTCTTCTCAATTTTTTCTTTGATAAAATGTCTATCCACCTCAACATGTTTGGTTCGATCATGTTGAACTGGATTATGGGCAATATCAATAGCTGACTTGTTGTCACAATGCAACTCCATTGGCTTTTCTGGCTTGAAACCCAATTCTGTCAAGAGTCTTCTGATCCATAGCAATTCACAAACTCCATGAGCCATTCCTCGATACTCTGCTTCTGCACTAGACCGAGAAACCACATTTTATTTTTTACTCAGCCAAGTGACTAGATTACCTCCCACGAAGGTGAAGTAGCCTGAAGTAGAGCGTCTGTCAGTAATGGATCCAGCCCAATCAGCATTTGTATATCCCACAACTTCAAGATCTCTATTCTTTGAGAACATTAATCCTTTTCCCGGGGCTAACTTTAAATACCTTAAGATTCGATCAACTGCATTCCTATGAGACACACTGGGTGAATGCATAAACTGGCTAACCACACTCACAGCATAT